CCGACCGCCCCGGCAGGGCCCGCCTGCGGCTCTCTGGCCCTCTCGGGGCAGCGTTCCCAGCCAGCTGCCCCGCTAGGCCAGCACCGCAGGCGAGGCCAGCCCGCCAGGCAAAACAGCGTTGCCCAGCGCTTCCCCGCAGACCCGTGGCGCGCCTTTGCCAGCCGTCCCACAGCCAGCCCTGAAGGGTTCAGGGAAGAGGGCCCTGGCCCCAATCCCAGGCGCGGGAATCCCAGCCCAGGGCCAGTTTACGTAACATCTCTGGGCGCTGAGGCGGGTCTCAGGCACCTGCCAACCCCACGGGGAGAGGAAGTCAGGCAGCGCTCTCCCTCGCAAGGAAGGTGGGAAGGTGGGCATGTCCAGAGCCCCCGCACCTCCGTCAGGACACAGGGTTGAGTGGGGTTGCAGAGCGGGGCCTCCACCATACACACACCGAGCAAAAGCTGCTCCGAAAGGGCAGTTTGTTGAATTTATTAACCTGGAGCTCCTCCTCCCTGCCAGTCCCAGAGGCTGGTCCCTGGGGCACAGTGAGCAGGATTGAGGTTACACGGGTTCAGCCCCTGGCAGCCTGGGACAGGGGACCAAGGGGTCAGCAGGTACAAAAGTCCAAATGCTGGCACTTCAGGTGTGGCCGGCGCCCAGCTAGGCCCAGGTCAAAGCACAGCCTGCCACAGCAGTGGACAGAGCACTGCGGTCCTCTTCCGTCAGACAGTCCACCGTGGGCAGGGTCAGGCCCTACAAGCCCAGCACTCCTTCACGCCAGCAGCTAGGAACAGTTAGTGATTCTGGCCAGGAACTGCTGTGCCCACCACTCATCCAGGTCGATAGGCACGAAGTCTGTGGGCAGAGAGAAGGCTGGGCAGTGACTCTGCCACCTCCCAGACTGGTCAGCGTTTCTACCCTCCAGCTGGCCACCAGCCCTTCACCAAACCCCAAATGGAGCTGGTGTGGGGAAGAAGCGGGTCAAGTCCAAGTGCCCTCCCCAATTCCCTGGGGCTAGAACCTGGCAGGGCCCAGGTCAGGGTCAGAGGGAGGGGCAGGCTCACTCTGCAGCCGGGGGCTGGGGGTCCTCTCCACGTACTGCACAGGCCCTGGGCCGCTCTCACCAGCTGGGCCTCCACCCAGCTGCTGCTCCACTAGCTGCCAGGCTGTAGGGAGAAGGCAGTCAGGCTGAGCCAGGCCCCTAGCACCCTGTCTCCCTCCCCAGGGCCTGGTGGCCACCCTGGACCCCAGCCCAGAACTGTGCAGCCTGCGCACAGTCCCAGGACAAACAGGTCAGAGGGGAAGAGGAGCCGTGGCACAGGACTCTCCGTGGGCCTGGACACTACCTTCAGACACAAACCGGACATTCTCCTCATGAGCCAGCGTGTAGGTTTCCTGGGCTCCCTCAAGGGATGAGGTCGTGGTGGGGGGCCGCCGGCCATTCACCCGATTGAATACAAGCCTCGGCCCTGGACTGCAGGAAGGGGAGACGTTGGTGACTGTCCCCAGCCCAGGTGCTGCTGGCAGAGCTCCAGGAGCAGAGCTCCAGGAGTAGCGCAGGCCACACCCACCACCCCAGGCCAGGCCCAGCCTGGGCTCTTCCCTGAACACAACTGCTCTCCTGCAGGCCCCTCACCTGCAGCTCCCCGCAGCTCAGCTCACACCTGCAGCGCCTCAGGCCTGGGGCAGGCCTGTGACTGCAGGCCGGCGGGACCCAGCTGCGTCCCAGGTCCCCGGCAGGGTTCCATGCTCAAAGCATACAGGTACCCCTCCGAGGGCCTCTTGAGCACCCCCACTGCCACCTGCCCCCCAGCTCCCCAGGACCAGCCAGGCCTCCAGCAGCCCAGGTTCTGACCTGAGCCACAAGCAGCTTACTCTGTCCCAACCCCACCCACCAGGTGCAGCTCTCGGCCACCTTCTCCCTTCCAGAAGCTTCTCTATCTCGCCGATGACCCCACTGTAGGAGAAGGGACCCAAACAAGATCTGCGAAGCCTTTGCCCTTCCCTCTCCCTACTGCCCCAGGCCCATGGGGGTGAGCCCCACGGGACAGCTCCTGGTGTGGTCAGATAGCGCCGAGTGCAGGAATGCTGAGAGAGAAGATGGCTGTTGGGGTGCTGGATCTCTGCCCGATGGGCATGAGATAGCCATGGGGCTGCAGGGCCCGGTCCAGCTCGACCAGGCCTGGGGCACTGACAGGCTACCGGCCAGTGGTAGCTGGTCCAGCCCTGCACACACCGAGCCCTGGATGGGGCTGGGGCCATGGAGGGAGCGGGGCCCGCACCTACAGCAGGAGGTGGGAGCCGGGAGTCCTGGGCTGCACGTGCCACTCCGCCAGGCACTCACGGTCCCGCCGGCCTGCTCGCCTTCCTGGGCTCAGGTGCCCCACCGCCGCTCGGGGTTCCTCCTCAGCTGAGGGGCACTAAAATAAAGAGGAGTGTCTTGAGGGGCAGCGGTCCTGCCAGCTCCAGGCCGGCAGGGTCTGGTGGCCGCAGAAAATCTAGAGGGGCAGGGCTCCTCCCATGCCTGAGCTGCACCAACCAGAGGGCATGAAGGTTTACCCTCCCCTGCCCCCTCCACCCCTGTAAGGCTGAAAACTTCAGGGAAATTTGGAAGGAGGCTGATGAAGGCTTTAAAAAGGACTTGCAGCTCAGGGCCGCAAATTACAGGAACCAGGCAGGCAGTGGCCAGGCCTCGGTTGAGCAGGGCCCAGCACACAAGCCTCGGTTACACTTACATAAGGCCACCCACTGGCCCTCTGGAGGGAAGGGCACAGGTTCCCGTGTGCACTGGAGAATGAAGGCCACACTGTGCCTGCTCCCAGGGACGCTGCTTCCAGCCCACAGTGCCCAAATCCCTGCCTGGTGCCGACACACAAATCCTCTCCATCCTGTGACCCCCATGGTAGACCTCCCACCCATTCTCAGCCAAGGACCTGGGGTCAAGAGGGACGTGACCTGTCCAAGGTCACATGGATGAGTGGATGGCAGTGTCAGATCTTAACTGCATGCCCATCTGACCCCAAAGCCCACAACTCAGAAAAGCTCCCCCACCTTCCCCACCTCACATGCCTGCGTGCCCCTGGCACCATCAGGTGATCACACCACCCTATCTTATCTTCCCGCCAGCAGCTGATCTTGCCTGCTTGGGTCTTGCCCTCTCTCCTGTCTGTCTCACGCTGGAAGAGCTTGTCAGAGGCACAGACCCATGTGGCCTATTCACCCCTTGGGCAGCACCCAGACCCGTGCCCAGCCAGAAGCCAATCCTGTACACTTGGCGGGTCACACTCTGAGCACCAGGCATGGAGAGCAGCAGGGCCCAGCCCCCTCCCAATTGTGGTGAGGAATGGTGGTGGGAAGTTGGTGGAGAGCTCTTAGAGGGAGGTCCCCTGAGAAGGGGTGGAAGCACCGCCAGCCGCTCTGGCCTCCTAGCAGGGTCTCTTCAGGGGCACTGAGTCGGAGGGGGCAGCTCCGGAAAGGGAGCGACCTCAAAGGGGGCCAGTAGGGCCAGCACAGGCACGGCCTGCTCACCACTGCCCTACAGCCTGTGCGGCCAGCCAAGGGCTCGCCAGCTCAAACAGGAGAGCAGGCGGCAGTGCACCCGGCTGGCTCAGGACTGGGGCCAGCGGGGATGTCAAGAGCTCTGCCTTATCTTCCACCACTCCTTCCCCAACACCCCCCTTCCACTGACGCACTCCCTTGCCAGAACCTTCCTCCTGGGCCATCCTCAGCTCACGGATCAGAGGCCCTGAGTATGCCCCTCCCAGGAACAGGGGACGAGTTTCTCCAGGTGGAGGGATGGGAGCTCCCTGCCGGAGTGACACTGGTAAGCTACACACCCATGCCTTGTTTCCTCCCCTGGGAGGTAGGGCAGCTGTGAGAACCACGGCCGATGTCACCAGGCAGTGTCACAGCACAGCTGTGGTCCCAGGAAGCACCCCCAGCACCCCGCTCACCTTCCTCCCCAGGACATATCTGTGGTTGGCCTCAAACATTTTCCAAACTAGGTACCAACCCCAAGTTGTCAGCACACTCCCAGGAGGTCCCTGGAAAGGGCCTCATCCCAGAAAGGTCCCCACCAGCTGCCCCTACCTGTGGCATCTGAGGCCGATAATTCAGAGGGAGATGCCGGCTGAGGGGCATCGCCCCTGACCTCCCCGCCAACCTTGGCGACTGTTCGTCCTCATTTGGGAAGCACCCCTTGCCAGCAGCACCTTCCCCCTGGGCCATCCTCAGCTCACCGGTCAGAGGCCGGCTATGCCCCTCCTTTGCGTCCTGGCCCCGCCCACAGCCCCCGCCCACATCAGGCGCTGGGGTCCTTAGGCCTCTGTGGGCCTAGGGCAAAGCCCAGGGCCCCGGAAATGCCTAGAAGGAGTGAAACCAAAAGCCAGGGGCTTAAGCCAAGGAAGTAAAAGGTTCAGCGCTGCGGGGTTGGGGAATCTGACCTCCAGGTCATGGTCGCTAGGAGGCCAAAGCTGCCAGGACTGAGCCTCCTGGGGCCTCAGGCCTTGGGGCACCAGCAAAATTGCTGGTCAGGTCAGGCAGAGAAGGCCAGGCTCCAACAAGCCCGGAGCACCTGCGGGAGACCTCCAGCGCCCAGACAGGCAGAGAAGGCCAGGCTCCAACAAGCCCGGAGCACCTGCGGGAGACCTCCAGCGCCCAGAAGGGGTGTTTGGGGTGAAGGGCAGGAGGGCAGTGGCCTGGCAGGGCCAGAAGGAACCACGTGCATGTCTCCCCCAACGCGCTCGGCAAGGACCGGCTGGCAGCCTCCCGCAACGGCCAGAGCCAGCGTCCCGCGCAGGAAGGCGAGCCCCCGCAGCAGCTCGTCTCAAACCTTGGCCTCGCAGCCCAAGGTCGCCCGGGGTATCTGACTCGGCCGCGCAGAGCTCCCCAGATCCGGGAGCCGGTCAGCTTCCTCCCGACTCGGGCCACGCACATCCGGCGCAGCCCCTCGGGCCCAGCCAGGTGTCAGGTGGGACGGAAGCGCGCAGGTGCGGCGGTGTCGCTAACCTTCCCCAAGGTCACCTGCGGCCGGTGGGGGCGGCTCCAGCCAGGACGCGCGTCTCACCTCGCCAGGGGCCAGGGTCCCAGCGGCTGCGCGCGCGGGGTCGGCGGGGTCGGCGGCGCGGGTTGCCGGCATTTCAGCAGCTCGCCGAGCCTGCTCTCCACCTGCTGCTGCGGGGGACCTGGGGGCAGCGGGGCGTCAGCCGCCGCCGCGCCCGGACCCCCGCCCGCCGCCCGCCGCCCGCCACCCCGCGCACCTGTGCGGCGCTGCGCCACCAGCTTGCTGGGCCCCTTACTGAGGGTGTACATGGTGCGCGGGACACCACGCGCTCGCCCTCTGGCCCGTCCCGCGCCCTCCGCCGGGCTAGCGCTCGCCGGGCGCCGAGGGCGCGGCCCCTTTAACGGGCAGCAGGGCGACGGGCAGGGGGCGGGCCGCGACACGCCCCCGGCCCTTAAAGGGCCCGCGCGGCCCGGGGCAGAGACGGCGCCCCGAGCGCGCGCCTGCGGCCAGGCGGAGGAAGCGCTGGGCACGACGCGCGTGCGCCGCCGCTCCCGGGCTGTGGGCGGGGCTCTGGCCGAGGCCCTCCGGGGTCCGCGGTCAGGTCTGAGCAGGGACGGCCCTGCGTTGACGGGCTGGGGTGCTGTGCGGACCCTGGGAGCGGAGGTATCCCCCTGCAGACGGGCAGAGCCAGCCGAGGGGCCTGGGCCAGGATGAGGGTCACTCCTGGCTGGGTTCTGGGGCGGAGGAGTCACGAGTAAGGAGGGTTAGGGCCCCTGCGTTAGGGCAGAGGCAGAACGCCCTGGGACTCTCCCACCCCGCGGGACAGGACGGGGGGGTGCACTCCGCTGTGCGTCTCCGCCTCTCATGCCAAGGTGCACCCCAACCTCAGGGAGGGGCGAGGCCGCTTACCAATCCAGGAGCAGCGAGGTGGAATCCCGAGGGGACAGAGGGCAAGTGAGGGGCCCATTTGCCTATGTCATCCGCATGGGGGAGTAGGTACCACCCACCCGACCCCAGGAGTGGCATAGGGGTCCTGTAGGCCGGGAACCAGGCCTGCATGGAAGGGGGGCCCCCACTGCACCCTAACCCCATCCCCATAAACCTGGAAGCCCCTCAGAGGTGGTCTCTACCCCTACCCCAGAGGGTTCTTGCCCAATAATTAGAGGTGGCCCTCCTCCCAGCTCACCAGCCTCCAGCTGCCCCAGGCGGTCAGTGGTGGGGCCCCAGGTTCTCCCCACACAGCCAGATCAGGGGAAGCTGAGGGCCTTGTGGGCTCCGTGTGAGACACCCATGGTCGTTTGTGTGGCTGAGTTCCATCCTTAACGTCCCCACATCCAAGAGAACGAAGTACCCAGGGTTGCCCGTGGGCAGCGGACTCCACCCTCATGGCCTGTGCTACCACCTTAGGGCCCCTGCACTACCCCCACGGATACTGAGGAGGCTCAGTCCAGCAAGCACCAGGCCTGGGTGTCCAGGGGTCCTTGTCTCGGCTGCTGTCTGGTGCTGGGGGGTGGGGGTGGGGCTTGCCCTCAGAACAGTGGTTCAGTGTTCCTGGAACAAACCCAGCCTAGCGACCCCCTGCCCACTTCAGAGCAGGCGTGAAGCCTCCCACCCAGGCAGGGCTGAGGCCAGGGTAGGGGCTGGAGCAGGCCTTTATCATGTGCTCTTTGGACCGCAAGCAGAGCCCCCATGGGCCTGTGGGCCTGGTGGGGGTGACCTGGTCTGCTCAGGAAGGCTTGTATCCTAGGGGTGGTTGGGCAGTCCTTCTTCTCATGTCCCCACAGCTCCTTGTCTCTGTGTCCTGTCCTGAGCAAGCTAAAGGACCGGACCCCATCTCCAGCTGCCTCGTCTGCAGGGCCTGGCAGGGCTCAGCCACGTCTGGGACACTGAGGCTGGTGGCAGAGGGCTGCTGAGTCCAGGCCCCCAGACGGAGCGTGACCCCCCAAGGGCCTCTGCCACCTAGGCCACCTCCCCCTGTGCCATCCCACCCTGTGGTGCCCATCCCTCACCCTCCCCTCATCAGTGCCAAGGTCAGCGTGGTCCTGTGTCATCTGTGAAGCTGCCCTGGCCTCTGGTAGCCTTAGCACACTGCTTGCTCACATTCTGGGAAGATCCTCAGGGGCAGGGGTCTGGGGAGCCTGTGTCCTGGGGGTGCATGTCCCTGGCAGAGTGAGCAAGGTCCTGGCATGGGGAACATGTGCCCTCCACACACTGACGCCAGGTCTCTGGGAGCTCCCCTCCCCCAGCACGCACCTCAGGATGGAGTGGCAGGAAGGACAGGGTTCTCTGACGGGAAGACAGGTCCAGCCTTTGTTTAAGCCCTGTGGTGGCCAAGGCCTCCATGTCCTAACATCCCGGCCCAGCCCACAGGCCTGTTTAAGGTCAAAGGTCGGGACCAGAGCCCTTGGAAAGGCTCCCAGAGAAGAGCAGAAATGGTCCTGACGGGTGGAAGGGAAGGGGGCACTGGACAAGCTTGTGGGGGATGCTGAGTACCCAGGGGTTCCCAAGAGGCACCGAGCTAAGGGAGCAGGGGGATGGGAGGTGCGGGAGGGGGAAAGCCCAGCTCGTGGGGCAGGGAATGAAGTCCCCAATACCTGCCAGGTGAGGCCTTCGTCCTACAGGCTGACTATGAGCAGCAAACCTGCCCTGGCCTGGCATTGCATCCTGGCACCTGAGGGTCGTGAGGGAAGGCCAGGCCTGAGCCCGAGGCTAGGGACTGGATGGGCCTGCCCCCAAGGGCCCAACGTGGTGCTGAGGGTCAGGCAGGAACCGCAGCCGGCTGGTGCAGGGCAGCAGCTCCCCGTGAGCTCCGGGTTTTGTTCCCCAGCCTCTCCAGCCTCCCCCCTGGATCCTGTTGGCTCTGAGGTGTGCTGGTGGCAGTGTTCTGTGGCTGGCTACATTCCCGGACACCGGAGAGGCTGGGGACCGAACCGCAGTGGGAGGCGGCTGCAGACGTGGGAGAGGGGCCTCATTGTGCTCACTGGCTAAGCAAGGGCCTCCAGCCCCGCCGAGGCGGCTCGTGAGAACAGGCACTCTTTCCCTCTTCCAGAGGGCTTCAAGGATGATACCACGATGTAACACACGAGGAGAAAGAAGTTCAGCTTCTCTGTCCGTCTAACTTCCCAGGCTGACATCTGTACCCACTGGGCTGGCAGCGTCCAGGAACTGGCTCCGGTTGGGGTGTCTCTGCACCTGCTGCCTGGTGTCTAGGGCTGTCTGGACCTGTCCCCAAACCCAAGCGCAGCGGGTTGAATGGTGGCTCCCAAAGATAACATCCACCCAGAGCCTCAGGAAATGACCTTATTTGGAATAATGGTGTTTGCAGATATAATTAAGGCAAGGATTTTGAGATAAGGTCAACCTGGATTAGGGTGGGATCTGAATCTAGTGTCCGATGTCCTTAGAAGCAGCAGCAGGGGGAGATGTGAACACAGAAGGCAGAGTAGAAACTAGGTGAGGACGGAGGCCGCGACCCGGGTAAGGTGGTCAAGCCCGGGAGCCCCTGAAGCCTCTTGATGCTGGAAGTGGTGAGGAAGGACCTTCCTGTAGGGCCTCTGGAGGGAGCTGGTACCTTATTTGGGACGTCTGGACCCCAAAACTGTAAGAAAATAAATTTCTGTTGTCTTAAGTCACCAAGTTTTGGGGTAATTTGTTACAGCAGCTCTGGGAAACTAATATGCCAATGGAAGCAGTAGGGGAGGGGGGTGCAGAGACGGTGGGTGGAAGAGGCCTGGTGGGGAAGTTTGGACCCCATCCGCACAGGGAGACCATTCATGAATGGTGGGCACATGGGCCGGGAGCTCGGAAGAGAAGCTGGACCGTGCCTTCAGCTCCAGATATCCCCCAGGGCCAGCACTCGGGAAGCCTGACTCACAGCGCCTTCTGTGAGTGAGCACGGCGAGATGGGGCCCTGCCAGGAGCCCCCTCTCTCACCAGCATTTCCTGAGCACCTCCTGTGAGCCAGGCCCCAGTGCAGGGCAGGATGACCATGCCTCCTGGAGGACGCGCATCCAGGACCTGGACTGAGGAATGAGGCCCCGGCCAGAGGGACGGCTGCTGTGCACGCAGAGGGCAGGGGCTCCCCTCCCACTCCCTGGGCGCTGCAGATTTTCTCATGTGAATAAACATGCTGGGAAATCTGCTTTCCTCCGGCGAGAGGTAAGCCCCCCAAGAGGGCGACCTAGGAGCCAGATACAGTCTCAGGAGAAACGACCCGTAGCAGCAGTGAAGGCACCATGAGCACCGGCCGGGGGTGGAACCCTCCCAGGAGTCCACTGCTCCGCATGCCCCCGGGGTCCTGAGCCCTCCCAGGGTCTGACACACGTCAGGGACTTGCAGAGAATGTGTGCTCAACACATGGCCACACAAGCTCACACACACACGCTGCAGCAAAGGCTGCCACTGGGCCCTCCAGCTGCTTCTGTCCAGCTGGGAGCTTGGTTGACTCCTGAGGGCAGGTGTTGGCTCGCACGGCCTCCAGCCCCCCCCGTGATGTGGGGAGAAGACAGCAACCAGGGCATGTGCTGTTAAACAGAGACATTGCTGGGCCCTTGGGCAGTTCCTGCGGCAGCCCCTGGGACACTGAGAAAGCCAGGCTGGGTCGGTCTCAGGCTCAGACACAGGAGCAGGTAAACACTCTGACACCAATATGGGGGTTTTCCTCACCAAGCAACTCTTCACTTCTCTGGGTGTCCTACCATTTAACTCGGCTCCGACACTAACTGCCCAGCATTAGCGCAGGCCCCCGGGCTGAGGGCTCAGTCCCCCGGACACCCCCACCTCACACCCAGTCACAGGTCCCGGCGGTCAGTCGTGCTTCCGAGCCATCAGCTATAGAGTGGGGTTCCCACGGCCCCCTCCTCGGGTTCCACAGTTCCCTAGAGGGGCCCACAGAACTCAGGGAAATACTGTTTACTGGTTCGTCATAAAGGATCCGACCCGGAACAGCAGATGCAGAGACGCCCCGGGCAGGTTTATGGGGAAGGGATGTGGGGCCCCTGGGCCCTTCGCAGCACCTCTACGTGCACCAGCCCGGAAGCCCCCTGCCTCATTCGGGGTGTCGTTGACACAGGCAGGGCTGGTTAAGTCATTGGTCCTTGGGATCATCCCCTCTGGTCCCCTGCCCAACCCCGGAGGTCTGGGTGGGGCTGGAAGGCCTGGCCCCTAATCACGTGGCCGGTTCCCCCAACCACCCCCCCAGAGTCACCCCCTAGTGGAAACCCAGGCAGGGCGGAAAGGGGCTGTTTGTGAGAAGTAGCAGCATCTCCCCTCGCTCACGCAGGGAATCCCCGGGGCTTTAGGAGCTCCGTGCCAGGAACCAGGACGGAGACCAAATAAATATTTCTTATACGACAATATCACAGGGTGGCCTGCGCCTGGGAATCCCATGTGAAGCCACCAGGAAACCTGGTGCCTCTCAGGTGGGCAAAGAGGAGTGAGGGGACTAGGTGGTGAGGCCTCAGGTGACCACTGGTCATCACAGGCGGGAGCCGGGGGTTAGACTGCACTGGGGGCACGGAAAATGCTCACCAACAAAGCAGGATGCGGTGAAGCGCAGGTGTGTCAGGTAAGAAGAGTGGGGCTGCGAAACGGAAAGCCAGTGGGAACGCGGGGGGGGCGCCGCCGGGCTGTCTGGAACCGGGAGGCGACTTTCTCCCCGCCGAACGCCCCCGGAGGGGGTTCCCGGGTCAAAGCCCGGGTCAGGCCACCTGTGAGCTCTGGCCAAGCGGCCTCGGGAAGGGGGTTCGCTCAGGAAAGCCTGCCCGCTGGGCGAGGCCGCACCTGATCAGGGGCCACGCCCCTCGGCCTCCAGACCGGCCCCGAACCCCGGCGGAACCTCGGCAGGACTCGGCCTCCCACGTGATTCAGGGCCAGCGGCACCGCGACGCCCGCGGACTCGGCTGGCGCCCGTCACTCCGTAGACACAGAAGGCCCAGTGCACCACGAGGCCGGCCGCCCGCCTGCGAGCCTGTAAGTCCGGGGAGAGGAAATCCCGGGGCAAAATACCTCTAAAAACCGAAATCGGTCAAAGGGAGAAATAAAGTTTAAAACTCTTTTATTGCTTACAAGCTGCAGCCCAGCGCGGTCTCTCTCCCCTGCTCCGGAGGATGCAAGCCCCTCCCCTCCCCTCTCAGGATCAGACACGCCCTCGGTTGCCCAGGTAATTACCCATTGACAGGGAGACGAACTTCTCTCCACCCGAGGATATGCAAATGCACCAAAGCCAGGCGAGATAATTCTGGAAATGTTACAGTTTTACCCACAGAGCCCCTGTAAGCCCGACAGCCGCCTACAGTCCCGCCCACCACAAAGCCCCCGACCCCCGAAGCCCCGCTCCTCTAGGAGCCCGGCCGGGGCCTTGACCCTAGCGGCTCCGAAGGCCGCGGGTTGTCATGGTGTCCACGGCGCGGGCCCGAATGCAGACGCCCGTACCCCGGCTCGTGCGCTTGGTCTCCGGGCACCGAGGCGGCGCCGCGGAGTCCTGCGCGGGGAAAGTTGCGTCACATCCTGTAAGCTCCCCAGGCGCCCGAGCCGCCGCGAGCGCCGCTGGTGTAGTGGTATCATGCAAGATTCCCATTCTTGCGACCCGGGTTCGATTCCCGGGCGGCGCAAACGGAATTTTAGCTTTTCCTCTTCTCAAAATACTAAATCTCGGTGACTGTAGAGCTTTGAAAAGGAAGGAAATCCTGGAGCAAGGGAGCATCCTCTCCGGGGCATCGCGAACGAGACCATCTCAGAGACTCACAACGCTGTGAAAATGTGGGCAGGGCCGCGGGCGACCGGGTCGGGAGCTGAGGGGCGTCTGCAAACCAGCAAACCAACGGCTCAAACACGCCTACCGGTCGCTCCCGCGCGCCTCCTGCGGCTGCGGCTGCGGCCCCTTTAACGCGCGGCGCACGTCCTCCTGGGAACGTCGTCCGCGGGTCCGCCTGCCCCGGACCGTGGCTTCCGGCGGCCCCGGGAGGCGCGATGCTGGTGGCGGCGGCCGCCGAGCGGAACAAGGAGCCCATCCTGCGCGTGCTGCGGCAGTTTGTGGACCCGGCGCGGCGCGGCGTGCGCGTGCTCGAGGTGGCGTCGGGCTCCGGACAGCATACCGTCCACTTCGCGCGGGCCTTCCCCCGCGCCGAGTGGCAGCCGTCCGACGTGGACCAGCGCTGCCTGGACAGGTGCGGCGGGAGGGCGGGCCCGGGTGGCCGCGGAGGGCGCGGGGCTGCAGGACTGGGCCCCACGCCGCTGCAATCCTCCAAGCCTGCCTGGCAGGAAGGCAGGGGCGTCAAAAAAAAAAAACCCAAAAAACAAAACCCCACCTAAGGGCTGCTCCCCCACAGCATCGCGGCCACTACCCAGGCCCAGGGGCTGTCCAACGTAAAGACCCCGCTGTACTTGGATGTGACCTGGGGCTGGGAGCAATGGGGCGGTATCCTGCCGCAGTCGCTGGACCTGCTGCTGTGCATCAACATGATCCACATCAGCCCCCTGAACTGCACCGAGGTCTGTGGGAGCGTGGGCGAGCCACCCAGGGGCCACCCACCTGCGCCTAGCAGCACCCCTCACCCTGCATGGGGGGAGAGGGGAGCCCCGTTTGCCCCAAGTCACGGATGGGGCACTCAGCTGGGAGGTTAGGCTAAGTCTCTAGCCCCCAGCCCAGGGCTCTACGGGGTGCTTGGGGAGAGCTGGACACTGCAATCCTGCCCGACCCCCCTTTCCCAGGGGCTCTTCAGAGCAGCAGGACACCTGCTCAAGCCCAAGGCCGTGCTCATTACGTATGGGGTAAGTGGCCCTGCCAGAGATGAACCTCCCCTGGCTGCACGATGCCCCGGCCTCAGCTGACTCGCTCCCCTAGACTCCGTCCCTCCCATCTCGGGGTTTCCAGCGCCCTCTTCCTCTTCCTCCTGTCGCCGCTGAAACCCACCGGGCACTCCCCTCTCAACCCCCTGCCGGGCCTCCTGGCAGTCGCCTTGCACCCCTTTGGCTTGCCAGCTGTTCTGCTGTTCCCGCTCTTGGGGGTAGGGAGGAGGTTGTCCCCTGCATCCTCTGGGTGCCAGCCTGCAATCCCGCCCGCTGGCTGACAGGAGTGGCTAACCCTGGGTCCGGGGGTAGCAGGCAAAGCCATGTCCCTCTGCCTCCATAGCCCTATGCTGTCAACGGGAAGATCTCTCCCCAGAGTAATGTGGACTTTGACCTGAGCCTCAGATGCAGGTTAGAGCTGTGTAGGTTGGGGGCCCAGCTGAGAGGGCAGGTGGGCTGGGTGACCCCCAGGCCTCAACTCCACCACCTTCCCCTCTGCAGGAACCCAGAATGGGGGCTGCGGGACACAGCCCTCCTGGAGGAGCTGGGCCAGGCCAATGGCCTGTTCCTGGAGAGGATGGTAAGGGGTGGGGGGCAGGGGGTGGGCGGCACAGATGGGCCTCCCTGGGGGCCAGAAGCAGCTTCTAGCCAAAGCCTCTCCCCCAGGTGGACATGCCCGCCAACAACAAGTGCCTGGTTTTCCGAAAAGAGTAACCGCGCTCCTCCCACACACCTGTGTCCCTCTTTGAGGCCCCTACAAACCTAGACCACCAGACCTCCCTGGGCTGGGCCATGGGAACTGGCCTGGTCCAGTCTGGGAGCTCGCGGCTGCTGGCCGCAGGGCTGCCGAGAGCCTGGGAATAATAAAGGTCCCTGCTGCCCCACTTGCTGGCGCCCGCCCCTCCTCCTGCGGACCCCTGCTGGTGCTGGGTGGGCAGTCTGTGTCTCCGAGGATTCTGCACTGAGGGAAGGAGTCTGGCCTGTGGGGCCAGGGCTTGGGGACATCCTGGACCCTGCTGCCCCGCCCGGCACTGGAGGAGGGAGGAGAGACCCAGGGACTGCTGAGGCCGGACAGGGCTGGCTGGCGACCTGGCCTTCCCGCCGCAGGAGGCGGTGCCTGCCTCGGGCGCCTATGCGGGAGGCTCCCCGGGAGGGGACTGGCGCTGCCTGATAACCTCAGGCTGGAGCCCAGTCCCAGGGTGGTGTCGGGACCCCAGCCGGCGCGTGGCGGGGAAAGGTCACAGCTCCACGTGGGCCCCCGGATTGGTCGGGTCGCCCCAAGAGGCCCCACACCCTTTATTCAGCAGGCGGGGCGGGGCCGGGGCGGAGGGGCGGGGCTAGTCCTGGAAACGGCCGAGCAGCTCGCAGGCCTTCTTCTCGAGCAGCTCTGAGACCTTCCTGACGCGCTTCTCGCTGGCTGCGCGCACGTAGCTGCCGGCGTCCAGCACCGCCACGCCGTCTCGCACCGCGCCCATGATGACCAGCGGGACGTCGCCCGCCGTCACGTTGGGGCAGGGGCAGGCCCAGTCCACGCCGCTCAGCGTCACCTCCAGGTACTTGGTGCCCAAGAGCCTGAGGCCCATCTTGTCGTCCTTGAGCACGTCGTCCAGAGCCACTCGGGCGATGCCACCACCGCCCGCCTCGGGTTCCTCCAGCACCTCGGTGAGCCGCCCCACGATGGCAAAGTCACTGCGGCACAGGCTGGGCGCCAGCTTGCTCCTGAGGCGGCAGACCTGGCAGGGCGGTGTGCGTGGCACGGGGCAGGCGTCCTCGCAGCTCTCGCGGCTCTCGAAATTGTTTGCATTGCCCTCGCAGCCGCCATACACGAAGGGGTGACACTGCTGCAGCAGCGGGCTGTAGGCCCAGCGTGGCTCCCGGCCCTGGCAGGGGCCCTGCACGGCCGGCAGCGCGCAGGTGTCCCCGGGGCCGCGGACACAGGCCCGCTGGCACGCCTCGTAGGTCTCGAAGCCCCGGGCCCCGCCGTCACAGCCGCCCCCTGGGAAGGTCATGCAGCCGCCCCGCTGTGGGTCGAAATGCCAGAGGACCGGGCCAGAGGGTGGGCCAGTGCAGGCCTGCGCGTGGGCCAGGCACGTGGCCGGGGCAGGGGCGCTGGGGCCGGCCGACTCCCGCTGGACCACGGAGAGTGGGAAGTCAGCCCGCAGCAGACCGGCAGCGTTGCGTGCAGTGCACGTGTAGAGGCCGGCGTCCTCTGGCCGGGCATTGTAGAGCACCAGCTGCCCAATGCTGGTGACCACCACGTTGCCGTACATCTGGTCTGGCCGCATGATCAGGTTTTCCCGCTGGTCACTCTGCTTCTCCCAGGTCACAGTGGGTGGCGGGTAGCCACTGACATCGCAGTGGAGGCTGGCCGTGCCCCCCACATACACCGCCTGTGGGGAGGGGCTGCTGTAGAGGGCCGGCGGCACGAGGGCATCCCCGGGCGTTGGGCGGGCGGTGGTCTCTGGCGGCCCCGGGCTGCTGGGCGGCCAGCTGAGCACGTGCTTGCAGGGTGCAACGTGTAGGTGCAGGCCTCGCAGGCAGGCTTCGGCATCCATGTAGCAGCGATTGTAGTAGGTGAGGCCGTCAGAGGCACAGGTGAAGCTGGGCTCCTTCTCACAGCGGTCCCGGCAGCGACACACCGGCTGCCCGCCCCAGATATCACAGCTGGAGCCCTGCTGGGGGCACGCAAAGCCCTCACAGGACACTGCCTGTGCAGGGGCCGCCAGGTCCCCATCTGGGAAGCGAGTGGCCACACAGCTCCGTAGCCCACACACGTTGGTGCAGCACTTCTCCGCGGCTGTGCAGTCCTGGGGGTGTGGGATGGGGTGGCTCAGTGGACACCCCGACATCCCAGCCCTGCCCTGGTCGGCCTCTCCCTGGACCTGGGTCAGTCTCCCCCTCCGGGAATTGAGCAGGTGTGTGGGGGTCTGCATCCAGTCCCGCACGAGCCACAGCTGCCTAGCAGGCCCCAACACACTTCATCTCATCAGACCTCACTGGATCCTCAGACCCCCGCTGCTCGAACAAGCTTTCTTCCCAGCGCACAGACAAGGAAACTGAGGCCCAGAGGATACCTGGGGTGTTCAGGGCCACTGCAGGTGGTGCAGGGCCTGTTTGTAGCCATCTAGATGCAGATCCCTGACTTTCTACTGCTCTGGTCCCAGGGTGCAGGAGGGAGGAGGGGGCTCTTGATACTCAAACACATTAAGGCAAAGACTAGAGTGTCCCCTGGGTTCCTCATGCTGGCCACGGTGTGAAACCCCAGCAGGACTGCGGGGAGCCTGAGGAGGAAGTGGGCTCCTAGTGTTTCCTCTGCGGCAGGGTGGGGTCTGGGCTTCCCCCAGGCTGACCAAGCCCCCGGCATGCCCTGCCCCCAACACTCACCTGGTCCCCGACGCACTCCCGCTCACAGGTACTCTGGGCGTCCACCCACAGGTTGGGGCTGAGCTGGTTGGGGCACATGCCCAAGGGGGTCCTGGGCCCTGGTGGCAGGCTGGCCCCTGAGGTCAGCCCAACCACGAGGAGCTGTAGCAGGAATGGGCTCGGGGCCAGCATGGAGACCGCTGGGCTAGGGGGGGCGGGGGGCGTGGCCAACAGTCCCACCTCAGGCCCTGTTGAGCCCGCTCCCCGCAGGCATCCGCCCTCCCGGCCTGCAGCTGGTGCTGTGTGTAGGCCCCTGGCTGAGCCCCCACGCTCCCCTCTGGCCCCCACGGTTGGAGCCCACAACAGATGCTCCCTCTCCACCCGGCGGCAGGAGGGGCTGGGTAGGGTCTGGGTCTTTCAGAGCTCAGGACGTGCATGTGGCCCAGCCCCTTCCCCTTCCCCCCTTGGCCCCTCTGTGGTCAGCTCAGGGCAGGAGGCGGGGAGTGGGGAGGAGGGCCGGGGAGGGGCCAAGGCCCAGGAGCCCAGAGGAGACACTGGCCAAGAGGGGGTCACTGAGGGGTAGAGAAAGGCTGGCTCTGGCCAGAGGGGACACTGTAACCGGAGCCCCTCCTCCCTCAGGGATAGAAGGGCCCAGGGATCAAAGCTGCGTAGCCGACCCTTCCAGCCGGAGCTAAAGGAGGGGGCAGGGTTGGCCAACTCCAGTGGCCTCCTCCACCCAGCCCTGGCCAACTGTAGACCTGGGTCCCCCCCCCCCACCAACCCCCGAGAGGGCCCAGGCTGGTGGCCCTTCACCTGGAGATCACTACATCCAGGACAGGCATTCACACGGAGCAGGAGTGGGTATTGGGTTCCCGGCCCAGAAAGATTCCACAACCTTCATGAGCCTTCCCAGGGTTACAACCTGCCAGCACATCTTGGGGTCAAATGACCCCTTTCTGCTGGGGGTGAGGCCTTTGCAGCATGAATGTGCCCGAAGGGTTCAGACTGGGCTTTCTTCTGGCTCACAGGGGTCTGGGAGGCTGATGCATGGCAGGGCTGCACTCTCAGGGAGCCCCCACTCTGCTGAAACCCCAGCACCTGGCTCCTGGGGTCCAGCCTGTCCACCACTGGGCAAGGCAGGTGCCAGAAAAGTGAAATATGGGAGCAAGCAGTCTACATGTACACTGCTAACACTGGGAACAGCTGGTGTGACCAAGGATCTGAGTCCGTTTCTCGGGTTGATTTGAATTTCAGTGGCTGTGGCCCCACACGGGGCAGCACAGTCCCAACAAAGGCCAAGGGCACCTAAAAGCACCCTGAGACCCCACCTCTGACAAGGAGCCTTACCGCCAGGGGGGAATGGAGGCTCCTCCTCGGCCTGGGGATGAGCAGGGAGATCAGACTCAACGGCAGGACAGAGCCTGGGGACGACCTTTGCAAGCCCTTCCCAGGGCCCTGGGGCCTCCAGGGACTGTTCTGAGACTGGATGGCACCTTCTCGTGACCCTGTATCTGACCTTCCGACCTAAGATCCAGGGTAGTAACAGTCTGGTCTGGTCAGAATGAGTTGCGACATCCCCAGGTGAGGAGGACGCCATTGTTCCTTCCCTGCCCTATGAGGGGTCGCAGGTGTGGGGGCCACTGGGACAGACAAGGACAGGGTTCCAGGCCAAGACACACCCTCGGAGCTTCAGCCTGGGGCCAGACCCCTGAATATGAAGGCTGTTTTGTGATCCTACCCCCAAGCCTGGCTGACCTCCAGGGTGTCCATGCACCCCTGGGCTGAACCCCAGACTCCCCATCAGCAGGTGGCTTTCCCACTGAGGGTACTGACCCCAAGGCCCTGGAGGCACTGCAGTCTTAGGGCTCAGTCTGCCCTGAGTCACCTACCACCCCGCAGGCAGCAGAGTAAACGTGGCAGTCAAGCCCTGCCCGGCTGGGGGCTCAGGTGTCCAGGGTTCAGCCGTCAGGAGGCAGCAGGGGACGGGGAGGGCAGGTGGCCTCGCCAGCCATCTGCTGCATTACCCCACAGGGAGGCACAGGCCGAGGGCTGCCTACCCAGCCCACAGGGAAAGACAGGGAGCCTGTAACCAAGGTGGCTGCTGCAGCTGCTCAGCCCTCCCCGCCAGGGCGTGGCGTTCGCTGGCCATCAAAGGCCAGTCATGGGGACCGAGGGGCCGACAAAGCAGTGCCAGCCCACCCCACCGTGTCACACTGACCCCACTATTGGGCCAGCTGAATCCAGACTTTAATTCATATAGAGCAATCGGCAGATCAAAGCTGAATTACATTTACTGTACAAAGAAACCAAAACCATCCAAAACGAGCCCAGGAATGGTGTGAGCATCAGACAGCAGCGAAGGGTAGTGTTGATGTAGAGAACGCAGGACCATCCACATCCTCAGAACAGAGTGTGTGATTTGGTTCAAAGTCCGAAGAAAGGGGCCCCACTGGCAGGACAGGCAGGGCGGTGCCTCCTCTGCCCAACCTCGCTGGTGGCCAGGCCTCAGCCAGGGTCCCTGGGCGCCCCTGCTCACATGGGCCTCAGGCCCCTCTCCGCCTTGCCTCCCAGCACAGCAGGCGTGACGGGGCCCCCCACCACCACAGAAGAGTCCCAGAGCAAGGAGGGGCCTGGGGGCAGGAGGTAGAGTTGAGCACCAGGGCAGCGACAGCCGCATCCCCAGCCAGGTGGGCAGAAGGCGGCCAGACCTCCAGCTCGGGGCTGCAGGCAGGCCCTCAACGAGGGGCTCAGTGTCCACAGCCGCGGCTGCTGCTGACTGCGTCACTATGGAACAGGTCAGAATGGTTCTGGTGATGTGACCTCACGGGTGACACCAGGTGAGGAGCAGCTATGGGGGTCCCACCAAGGTCAGCAGACAGAAGCTGGTAAGAGCAGGGTCCACGCTCCCCCGGAGTTGAGCAGGCGGCACTCAATCCAGATCTGCAGCACAGCTGGGGGCCCCACCAAACATTCACCGCCTCAGATACCAAACCAAGGTCATACAGCAAGATATAAATGCAAGGGAACGTGCAGAATGACGGACAGAAAGCCGTCAGCCCCACAGGAGTGAGGAGGGGCACACCCCACAACCCAAAAGACACTGGCACTCCACTCGGGAACCCGTGAGTGGCCCCAGCTCTGGGCCCATGGCTCCACGACATGCAGGGATGTCGTCCAGGAAGGCCACTGGGAGCCAAGGAAGCCGCAACTGCAGTGCTGACCCCTGGGGCCCACATCCCACATGAAACCTATGTGATTCAGATTCAAGCCTCGACAGCTCAATTCCTCCCCTTATTTGCCTCAAATCTGCTCCCACTCCAAATGCCCCCAAATCCATCCCCAGTGACATGGGTTCATCACATGCTGCACAGAGGCTGCCCTTCCGGCCTTTAGAAAATGTACAGAGGGGGATGAACATCATCTCTATAAATAAGAACACAAGCCAGACCCTGGTTCTCAAGGACAGCCCCCTACAGACTGGGGCCCAGCAGAGCTGCCCCCAGGGTGCTTCTCAGCTGCAGTGCAGGGGCCCCCAGCCACAGGAGCACAGCCTCTACCATCCCGTGGTGCTCGGCTGGCGGGAATACCAGCCCACTAGGTGGGACCCCATGCTTCCAGGGGCCTGTGTGGCCAAAGTCTTCCTTATATGCAGGGCCAGGCCGAGGACACATCTTGTTGGGCAGCGCCAGCCTGCCCCGCTAGGAGATCTTGCAGTTGCTCCGCGAGCAGTTCTGGGGCGGGCTCTGAGGGGGGCGGATGGACCTGGACCTCCTGAGGCTGCTGCCCTTGCCACTGCCGCCCCCAGCCCCACTGGCCAGCGAGTAGGAGCGCCCGTGCATCATGACGGCGTTCATGCCGTTGGCCATCGAGAAGGACTTGAGGTGGCTCTTGATGGTGACAGGCAGAGGCAGCTTGTCGATGAGGTGCACGGGGGTGCAGGAGACGATCGCCCGGCAACAGAGATCCTGCAGGCTGAACACTGTGGGCGGGCCAAATGGAGGGGGTCGGGCAGTGAGCCATGGGCAGGTCTTGAGGCCTAAGGCTCAGCCGCCTGGCCAGCAGATGAGCCCAGGTGGCGCCCTGGCAGGGAGGGGGAAGTCTGCAAAGCTCCCAGGGTCCCGGACCTGGACACCCCACCACTCCACCCCAGCTGCCAGGCCCACCAGGAGCAGCCAAGCACCCTGCTCCGGCCTTCTCCCTAGAGCTGAGGTGTGCCCTGGAGAACCCTGTTTCCAAGGGTTGCTTCAGCCCTATCCCCTGTGCCTCACTGTGGAACTGACAATCCTGGCAGCTCGATCTCCAAAGGACAGGGGGACACAGAGCCTTGGTCTTTAGGGCTCGGCTCGAGGAGGGGAGGCTTGGAAGCCACCCAGCTTGCTCTGGGACACATTAGAATCCGCAGCACTGCCTCCCACAGTGAGGGCATCACTGGGGGCTCCTGACTGAGGATGTAGAGGGATGTAAGGTACAGTCCCCTCCCTTAACACCAGGACCCCAAACAAAGCAGACACAGGGTGAGAGCCGGCTGAGGCTGTGATGCATCACACAAGCGGTGGAGACTTTGCAGCGCTACGGCTCGGAGAGACCGGCTTCTTAAGGGCCGACCCGAGGCTCTGCAGAGGTCTTAGGCGCCCCCCACCCTCACTGCAGCGTCTTGGTCTCAGAGACCCCCCAGCCCGCCTCACCTCTGTTGGGCCTCCAGATCTTCTCCATGCCATGCCTCATGAGCACAATGCGGGACAGCTCAGTGAAGGACTCAATGACATTGAAGTTGCACAGCGGGCTGACCTCAAAGAAGGTCATGCAGTTCTTTTCCGCATAGGCACGAGCCTGCTCTGTTGGCACTTGCCGCTTGAACGCCAGGTGCAGCCGGTTCCCGACCAGGATCCGCGGCACACCAGGAGCATGCTTGGGGGGTACAGAACTCAGCAGAGGCACAAATGTGGGACACCTCCCTCTGGTGCTGTTCCCCCCTCCCCTGAAGCAGGCAGGCCCTGTCAATTCTGGGACAGGATTGGGCCAGGCTAGAAGGCGGACATGGGGCTCAGACTCCAGAGGTGCTGCCCTTTGGGACATTGGACCCAGCTGTCAAATGCCATGGCGGTCAGCACATTAGAGGGCACACAGATCTGGGGCAGTGTGTGGGGGGAGGGAGGTGGCAAATGGGGGCCACAGAGGCTCCCCACGGACACATGCCCCTGGGAAGGCGGTGACCATAGGCACACACCTACCTCATCAATCTCCCTGATCCACCGGTCGATGCCATCAAACGACCAGCGGTTGGTGATGTCATATACCAGAAGGATCCCCTGCAAGGGAGACACAAGCACTGAGAGGCCAAGGGGTCACACAGAAGGGGTCCTGTTCTGGGCGTGAGGCCCCAGCACAGCCACCCATTGCTCCCTTCCGGGATATGCAGCGCCAGGGACACTCGGCACCAGCAAGCTGTATAGGTTTTTTAACACAGGCAACATGGAAAATGTGCCTAAGGCTGCCTGTCACCCTGAGTGTGGGGCGGTATGTGGCTTGCGGCCCTAGACGCCTCTATAAACAGTGGCGGTGGTACAATCTGAGGGTCAGGGATCTCATGGGCTCAGTGCTGTCCTCTCCCTCCCCTTCGGGACTTGGCTGGGACAGAACTGGCATTTTTTTTAACTTCTTTCCTCCAAGTACACTGTAAGCCTTACTCTGTAATCATTTAAAAGTCACGGGAGCTGAGACTTGCACACATGGGTCCACAGTGCAGGGCAGGCCCCATGGACAATCCTGGCAGACAGACGTGAGGCGGTGGGCCTGGCACTCCAATCTCTGTGCACTTAGCCCAGGGCACCGTGCATGGGGAGGCATTTCTGAGCAGGACGGCAGTCACACAGCACTGAGTGCAGGCCCCCACCAGCTGGGCAGAGAAATTTGCTACGGGGACTTTCTTATCACATCCCTTAGAGACCAGTTATTCGGAGCTCAGCTCTGGGCTGTCTCCATCTGCTCTGAGTATCTCAGTGGTGACCTGTCATGAGCCTGGGGAAGGTGGGTCGGTGGCCCACATACTGTCCCTGGCCCAACACTCCTCTCTGAGGCAGGCTCAGGGGCCAAAGCCCATCAAAAGCGGGACCCTGGCACCAGCCAGCCAATGCTACCAGCACGGCCCTACCACACCCGGGGAGAACATAGCTGGGGCTGAAGGCACAGGTCACCCTCCACCTCAAAATGAGGGATTTTAAAGCCTTTCCCTGAAAAATGTCCTTCCAATTCTGGAAGACTAAAATGAACCCCTACAGCCTATTAAGACAAAGGTCTAGGTTACTTGAGCTCCTGCTCCCTGGAATGAAAGCTGCCTGCCACCCCAGAAGGCCACTCGCTTAAGGGAAACAGCCAGGCCTGGATGGATGTCGTCCAGGTGGTCTGGCAGAGACAGGCCCCTCTGAACTGGGGAAGCAGAAGACCAGTTTGGTGTGCCACAGAGAGCAAGACTGAGGAGGGTGCCTGCGTGGCTGGGGGCCACCTGCTGCTAGGGCTGCAGGGAACAACACCTCCCACGTGGTATCGGGGTGGGGTCAGCGTCACCAGCCCTCCACGTAGGAAATTCCCCTTCTAAGAAATAACTGAGGACATGTCCAAAGAGCAGCCCTTGTGGAAGTCCATCAAAGCGCTGCCCATGAAACAACTAAGTGTGCAGCCCCCAGGGCTGCCTAAGTCAAGGTGCGGACATGCTGTGCACTCAGCAGGAGCCAGGAGTCGGCTTCGACACACAGCAGACCATGAGGAGAGGCACAGATCCGAATGCCACGCAGGGACACACCACATGGAAGAGGCCTCTCTGGACGTGCCCACACGTCAGGCTGGGCGGGGAGCTGGCTCCAGCTTGTGCTTACCTACAGGATGTTTAAAGTCTTGAACAGCCAAGGAAGTCCATCCAGGCTCAGGCTTCAACTGCACCCTAGGCTATGGGAGAAACCCTGGCTACTCTGCCTGGCTCCACCTTTCTGGGACTGCCCAAGTCTGACATGGGGTTATGACAGGAGACCCACCCACCCACCAGCCACAGGGAGGAAGGCCACAAAGCCAGCCACACTGCAGGCAGCAGAGACCAAAGTGATCCTGGACTTGGCAGGGGAAACATCGCAACCAGCCCCAGGCAGGATGGCTCAGAAACCAAGATGTGGCTCACGCATAGGAGAGCCCAGTGCAGGGGTCCCAGAGCCAGTCCTGTACCATGGAGGTGGAAGCAGGGGTGAAGCAGTTCTCACTCCTCTGCTCTTCTGACAGGGAAAGTAACACAGGCACAGACTTTTAAAATCAGCCAGTACTCTTGGGTATAAACAAAACCCTGCCGCCAGCCCCTCCAGCTCTTTACAGGAATAGAGCCTCCAAAATAGAGCAAGGGACAACCGCACTGGGCAGGCTTTGGAGGGCACAGTGTGACCAGCAGCACATCACCAAAACGTATCACCTGGCGAATGCTCAGGCCTGCTGGGTGTCTCTCAGTGAGACAGGAACGACTCTCTGCAGCTGCTGCACACCTGCATTCAGAGCACGTGGGATGGCCAGGCCCTCTGAGGCTTCCCCCACACATTTTCCAACTGCCCTTTAGTACCGTAACCTGCGGTAACTAACACCTTCTCTCTTCAATTTCTTTTTTATCACAAAAGCAGTACGTATTTCTTGTAGAAAAATCAGGAACTATTCAAAGCAAAGGGAAAACAACAGCCCTCATCAGGAGCCCCAGTGTCCAGTGACACCACCACTCGAAAACACAGCTTCCTCAACTCTCTGTAAAGCTACATAGGCAACCCTTCCTTCCAAGGGCCTGGGGACCTGGCTCCCTTGTGCCTGGGCTCTCCCTGTGCGCCACCGAAGGGCACGGGTTCTCTGGTGCTGACGGAGCCGTGACAAACGCCCTGGAGCTGCGATCCACACTCTGAGTCTCTGTCTGAGGCTAGTTAGGCCCCCAACGCCGGGCACTCTGCAGAGCGGCCCACAGGCAGGCAGTACATCGACACTGCTGTGGAGCTTCCAGGACAGGAGCCCCACCTTCAGCAGACAGGGAGGCTGCAGAGTGGATGGGGGCCACCTGCAGCATCGCCCCCACCTCTCACCACATCTGAGAGGCCCCCACGCAGGCAGGCCCCGGACACTGGCCCGGTCAATGTCCTTTGTCAGCACTCAGCAGACTCAGTCTGACTCCGGTCCCAGACCTCTCACCCTCTCGGCCTCCCCAGGTGCCAGGGAGCAGAAGGTCAGCAAGAGTGAAGGGGCAGAGGGGTGCCAGAGCACCTGCAGAGATTCCCATCCCTGCACAACCCCTTGAAGTGCTCCCCACACCTAAGCGCATGCCAACTTGGGTGCTCTTCCATGGCAGCCCCATCTCCTGCTCTTGCTGAGAGGGTGCCCTGCCCTCCCAAGGACCAGCAGCAGCCCCTCCCACAGTGGCTCCAGTGCTGAGTAATCCAGCCCACCCCAGGAGCCCCCAGACCTGAGGCGGGCCTGGCTGCTCCAGCAGCCTCCTCACTCAGCACGCAGTCATCCAGGTGACAGGAAGTCACTGTGGTTCCTAGAGAACTGGGTGGCCAAGCAGCATCTTCACAGTGCGCAGTCCCCGAGCACCTCCCATGGCACCTCTAGGCAGTGAGAGCCACAGGCACCCACAGGGGCAGACCAGAGGCCCCTCCGCTCGGAGGTAGTCCGTGTCAGTCTTCTGAGGAGGCCTGATGCTCAAAGAGCAGCACTTCCTTAGCATCCCGCCCGTGGAGGGCCAAGCAGCAGGCGAGGGGAGCCGCCCTCTGCAAACAGCCGCGGCAGTGGCTGGCCTTACCTGTGCGCCCCTGGAGTAGGACCTGAAGATGGTGCAGAACCTGCCCTGGCCCGACGTGTCCCTGAAACAGAGCAGGGTGGGGACGTCGCCACAGGACCCCAGTGTGCGCAGTGTGGTCCACCCTCCCACGCCCTACAGCTGCCCTGGTTGGCCTCTCCCGGCCTGGGTACCCACCACCCCTGCCCAGTCAGGCTGGAGAACCCCAAACCTTGGGGATTTACATCTCATTGAGGTTCTGGAAATGCTTCTTAATTTGTAGCCCGATAAAGGGCACCAGGAGAGGGGCTGTGGCCATTGTGGAAACTAGTCCCTTAGGGGTGGAACCAGCAGGCTCCATCAGAACAGTCCTGGGCCTTCTCCTTTCTGCATCACAGAGCAAAAGCCACTCCGCGTGTACATAGTATCTATTTAAACAGCTATTCTAACTGACATACAAACAGGACACCTTCCTGCTTCTTTAAGGATTCTTGACTGATTTCACTTAACTTCTGAGCTCATGCAGTAACTCTGACTTGCGGTAGCTCCGCCCCCAGGCACCTGAGCTGGCCAAGGCCTGACTCACCAGAGCTCCAGCTTGACCCGCCGGCCGTCCAGCAGGATAGTGGTGGTCTTGTAGTCAATGCCTGCAAGGAAGCACAGACTGGTTGAAGGCAACAGCGAGCGAGACGCCTGCCAGGACCCCCTCACCAGGGCTCAGTCTTTGCAGCAGAGTCAGTGGCTCCTCCTCAGTGATTCGGACTGGCCGCCCTCGTGTCATCCCAGAGGGCCTGTGCTGGGTGCCAACAGCGTGGGAAGGAGGGCAGCGCAAGAGTGGGGTCCAGAACGCTGGTGGGAGGATGGCTCTCGTCTCCGCGCTGACCTGTTCATGGGCTCTTAGAGGTGAACCCTCAAAGGTCAATCACTTTCCCAAGTTCTTGGTTCATCGCAGTCCCCAGGTACTGACAGCTGGAGCATCGTTAAGGGTAAAGCAATTTCTAAAGAGCTATTTCTCTGGAGAGCTCTCTGGAGAACTCATGCTTGCCACGGTTTACCTGTCATTTTTTTAACTTGTTATACTTTCATACTAAGTCAAGGTGCGGACATGCTGTGCACTCAGCAGGAGCCAGGAGTCGGCTTCGACACACAGCAGACCATGAGGAGAGGCACAGATCCGAATGCCACGCAGGGACACACCACATGGAAGAGGCCTCTCTGGACGTGCCCACACGTCAGGCTGGGCGGGGAGCTGGCTCCAGCTTGTGCTTACCTACAGGATGTTTAAAGTCTTGAACAGCCAAGGAAGTCCATCCAGGCTCAGGCTTCAACTGCACCCTAGGCTATGGGAGAAACCCTGGCTACTCTGCCTGGCTCCACCTTTCTGGGACTGCCCAAGTCTGACATGGGGTTATGACAGGAGACCCACCCACCCACCAGCCACAGGGAGGAAGGCCACAAAGCCAGCCACACTGCAGGCAGCAGAGACCAAAGTGATCCTGGACTTGGCAGGGGAAACATCGCAACCAGCCCCAGGCAGGATGGCTCAGAAACCAAGATGTGGCTCACGCATAGGAGAGCCCAGTGCAGGGGTCCCAGAGCCAGTCCTGTACCATGGAGGTGGAAGCAGGGGTGAAGCAGTTCTCACTCCTCTGCTCTTCTGACAGGGAAAGTAACACAGGCACAGACTTTTAAAATCAGCCAGTACTCTTGGGTATAAACAAAACCCTGCCGCCAGCCCCTCCAGCTCTTTACAGGAATAGAGCCTCCAAAATAGAGCAAGGGACAACCGCACTGGGCAGGCTTTGGAGGGCACAGTGTGACCAGCAGCACATCACCAAAACGTATCACCTGGCGAATGCTCAGGCCTGCTGGGTGTCTCTCAGTGAGACAGGAACGACTCTCTGCAGCTGCTGCACACCTGCATTCAGAGCACGTGGGATGGCCAGGCCCTCTGAGGCTTCCCCCACACATTTTCCAACTGCCCTTTAGTACCGTAACCTGCGGTAACTAACACCTTCTCTCTTCAATTTCTTTTTTATCACAAAAGCAGTACGTATTTCTTGTAGAAAAATCAGGAACTGTTCAAAGCAAAGGGAAAACAACAGCCCTCATCAGGAGCCCCAGTGTCCAGTGACACCACCACTCGAAAACACAGCTTCCTCAACTCTCTGTAAAGCTACATAGGCAACCCTTCCTTCCAAGGGCCTGGGGACCTGGCTCCCTTGTGCCTGGGCTCTCCCTGTGCGCCACCGAAGGGCACGGGTTCTCTGGTGCTGACGGGGCCGTGACAAACGCCCTGGAGCTGCGATCCACACTCTGAGTCTCTGTCTGAGGCTAGTTAGGCCCCCAACGCCGGGCACTCTGCAGAGCGGCCCACAGGCAGGCAGTACATCGACACTGCTGTGGAGCTTCCAGGACAGGAGCCCCACCTTCAGCAGACAGGGAGGCTGCAGAGTGGATGGGGGCCACCTGCAGCATCGCCCCCACCTCTCACCACATCTGAGAGGCCCCCACGCAGGCAGGCCCCGGACACTGGCCCGGTCAATGTCCTTTGTCAGCACTCAGCAGACTCAGTCTGACTCCGGTCCCAGACCTCTCACCCTCTCGGCCTCCCCAGGTGCCAGGGAGCAGAAGGTCAGCAAGAGTGAAGGGGCAGAGGGGTGCCAGAGCACCTGCAGAGATTCCCATCCCTGCACAACCCCTTGAAGTGCTCCCCACACCTAAGCACATGCCAACTTGGGTGCTCTTCCATGGCAGCCCCATCTCCTGCTCTTGCTGAGAGGGTGCCCTGCCCTCCCAAGGACCAGCAGCAGCCCCTCCCACAGTGGCTCCAGTGCTGAGTAATCCAGCCCACCCCAGGAGCCCCCAGACCTGAGGCGGGCCTGGCTGCTCCAGCAGCCTCCTCACTCAGCACGCAGTCATCCAGGTGACAGGAAGTCACTGTGGTTCCTAGAGAACTGGGTGGCCAAGCAGCATCTTCACAGTGCGCAGTCCCCGAGCACCTCCCATGGCACCTCTAGGCAGTGAGAGCCACAGGCACCCACAGGGGCAGACCAGAGGCCCCTCCGCTCGGAGGTAGTCCGTGTCAGTCTTCTGAGGAGGCCTGATGCTCAAAGAGCAGCACTTCCTTAGCATCCCGCCCGTGGAGGGCCAAGCAGCAGGCGAGGGGAGCCGCCCTCTGCAAACAGCCGCGGCAGTGGCTGGCCTTACCTGTGCGCCCCTGGAGTAGGACCTGAAGATGGTGCAGAACCTGCCCTGGCCCGACGTGTCCCTGAAACAGAGCAGGGTGGGGACGTCGCCACAGGACCCCAGTGTGCGCAGTGTGGTCCACCCTCCCACGCCCTACAGCTGCCCTGGTTGGCCTCTCCCGGCCTGGGTACCCACCACCCCTGCCCAGTCAGGCTGGAGAACCCCAAACCTTGGGGATTTACATCTCATTGAGGTTCTGGAAATGCTTCTTAATTTGTAGCCCGATAAAGGGCACCAGGAGAGGGGCTGTGGCCATTGTGGAAACTAGTCCCTTAGGGGTGGAACCAGCAGGCTCCATCAGAACAGTCCTGGGCCTTCTCCTTTCTGCATCACAGAGCAAAAGCCACTCCGCGTGTACATAGTATCTATTTAAACAGCTATTCTAACTGACATACAAACAGGACACCTTCCTGCTTCTTTAAGGATTCTTGACTGATTTCACTTAACTTCTGAGCTCATGCAGTAACTCTGACTTGCGGTAGCTCCGCCCCCAGGCACCTGAGCTGGCCAAGGCCTGACTCACCAGAGCTCCAGCTTGACCCGCCGGCCGTCCAGCAGGATAGTGGTGGTCTTGTAGTCAATGCCTGCAAGGAAGCACAGACTGGTTGAAGGCAACAGCGAGCGAGACGCCTGCCAGGACCCCCTCACCAGGGCTCAGTCTTTGCAGCAGAGTCAGTGGCTCCTCCTCAGTGATTCGGACTGGCCGCCCTCGTGTCATCCCAGAGGGCCTGTGCTGGGTGCCAACAGCGTGGGAAGGAGGGCAGCGCAAGAGTGGGGTCCAGAACGCTGGTGGGAGGATGGCTCTCGTCTCCGCGCTGACCTGTTCATGGGCTCTTAGAGGTGAACCCTCAAAGGTCAATCACTTTCCCAAGTTCTTGGTTCACCGCAGTCCCCAGGTACTGACAGCTGGAGCATCGTTAAGGGTAAAGCAATTTCTAAAGAGCTATTTCTCTGGAGAGCTCTCTGGAGAACTCATGCTTGCCACGGTTTACCTGTCATTTTTTTAACTTGTTATACTTTCATAAGGAAAAGTCCAAGAGAAGCTAGGAGGAGCAGAGGCAGTGCCAGACGCTTAGCCTGCTCGAAAGACTTCAACGGGTTTGCGGGCCATCCAGAGACCCCCTAAAAGCCCAGTCTTTCCTTCTCCTCTCTACCACCTTAGAAAGGTCATCCGTTTCTTGGCTTCAAGCTTAGAAGTGGGCACTTGTGACAGTGTTGCTCTCAGGTGTGTGCACTCAAGCAACCTCAGCGTCTGCATGCGGCACACTCCCACAGGCACTAGTGCGTCAGCCACCATCCTTCCGCCTGGCCAACTCCTCAAACCGCTCACCAAAACCTAGCTCCTGGGCATCAAAGGACACTCAACAGAATGAAAATGCAACCTGTGAAATAAAAAAATTATTTGCAAATAACCTATCTGGTAAGGGACTGATATCCAGAATATGTACGAAATCCCACCACTCAACAAAAGAAAAGCCCAACTAAAAAATGAACAAAGGACTTGTATAGGCATTTCTCCAAAGATACAACTGACCAAGAGGCCAATGAAAAGATGCTCCACATCACTCATCATCAGGGAAAAGCAGATCAAACCACAGCGAGACATGAACTCATGCCCATTAGGTGGTTGTCATCAAAATACCAGAAAATATCCGGTCTTGGTAAAGATGCGGAGAAACTGGAACTTTTGTGCACCACTGGTGGGACTGGAAAATGGTGTAGGCACTGTAGGAAACAGTGTGGCAATTTCTCTGAGTTAAACTCAGAATCACCGTATGTTTTGGAAATTCCACTTCTGGGTTTATACCCAAAAGAAGTGAAAGCAGGGAGCTGAGCATGTAGGCTTTGCAAGCGCGTTCAGAGCAGCACTGCTCGCACCACCAGGCGCCTGGGGGCGGGTGGAGCGGCACACGCGCTTCCACCCACCCGGGAACAGTCCTCAGCAGGGACATGCTGACCCGTGCTGCCACGCAGGTGGACCCTGGGGACGCGATGCTGCGTGAGCCAGCCAGTCCCCAGAGGACATGCGCCGAGCAGCTCCCTTTCTCTGGGGTCTCACAAGCAGGCAGAGCCGCGGGGACAGAAAGTGGAAGGGTGAGTGCTCCCAGGGACATTGTGGAGAGGTGACAGGCTCCGGAGAGGGCAGTGGGGGCGCTGCGCATGTGAGCGGGCCGTGCCCCTGAGCCGGACTCCTGCAAGCCGGTTAAGGCAGTGACTTAATGTCATTCTACCACAGTTTTTTGAAATGTGAGAGAAGATTCCTGTGCACATGTTCCCAAGGGGGAGATATTCTTCAGGAAAAAAACAGAACAGAACTCAGGCCTGCCCACCATCCTACCTGGGCATTCACCCTTCCCCCAACTCTCATCTGCTGATCAGTCATTTCTTTGGGGGGAAGCCCCTGGAATTCTGTCAAACAGGACTCACCTCCTTTGGACCTGGCTCTCCAGCCTGTGACACGGACTGCATGAGGGTGGTGTTGGGACAGCGATTTCCAGAAGGTGTAGCTATGGATGCCCACCCTGTAGGCCACATTACCTCCTCTGACCCAGCAGTCCTGGGCCACAGGGACAGGACACTGACTGCCATGTGCCTCCCACAACACCGGCCTCACAAAAGGAGTTCTGCTGTGAAGCCACCCTGGGGTGGCATGGAGGCCCAGGGCCCAGCTGGGAGCTACAGGAAGGGGGGGGCACCAAGGGAGGGCCCAGGAGAAAATGGGGTTTGGGGAGCCCTTGGCCCAGCTCTGGGAAGGACGCCCACCTAGGCACACCTTGTAGGACCTTCTCCCATAACTGGCATCGTGAGCACAGTGAGCTGGGCACCTCGCTGACCGTCTGCCACATTCCCCCTGCCTCATCACCACAGGACTTTAACTGGGTAGGCCGCAGAAAGCACAGCCAGCCCCACTCCACTCCGCCCAAGTGGGACGAGCAGGACAGGCACTCAGAGCTGGGGACTGGTACCAAGGAAGGGTCTGCTCTCCTCAGGACCTCCTGTGGCACACCCACCCAGCTGGCCCAGGGCTTGCCCGAGAACAGCATTCTTAGCACTGTTGACAAGAGCCTGACTCGGAGGATGGAGCAACGTCACCACAGAGATCATTCAGACTCACACAGAGCGGCCATGCTCTTTGAGTGCAACCCGACACAGGCACCCCAGGGCGAGTGGGCAGAGGGTCCCTCCAGCAGACAGCAGGGCCCAGCTGAGGATGGCCCAGAGCCAGCAGGGAGGCGCTCTCAGGCTGCCACACACTCTTGGACAGATCAAAAAAATTTCATGCTTCCTCTGCCTCGCCCCCCTGCCCCCACCCCAAAGCTGGGTTAAAGACTTACAGTGTGCTTTGTGAATTCACAGAAAATACAGACACAGCAAGTCCAGAGAGAGAGGTCTGCCTACAGAAAGGCAGAATCTCCCTCCCACAAGAGTGGATGGCACCCGAGCATCACTGTGCGTTAGCTCGGATGGCTCCCAGGCCTTCAGATTCACTGCTGGAGAACTTCGGTCACCCCCCACCTTGTCTCACAGGCCTTAAATACTGAGCAGCTGTTTGAAAACCTGATGACCAGCGGTTTCATTTCAAAATATTTAACACTCTGTATAGCACAAGCATATTCAGAACAGAAATGAGCTACTGGGAGTCAGAAGAGCAGGCCACGTGCACACAGGGATGGCCAGAACTCTGGTGGGCTGGGCCCTAGAACCCAATGCCCTCGTTCAATGGACAGGGTGGCAGGAGCAGCTCACACACAGGGAGGCATTGCATGGGGTGACCGAGTCTCAGGTCTGGGACCGCAGGCACTCCTGGGATGGACACTGGGCTTGGGAAGGTCACCAGGCCAACGGCAGGTGACCAGAGGTTCCAGGGGGGAGACAGGTGCTGTTCTTACTCCTGATCCTTCTTACGTGAACTTTCTTTCTCTGAAAGCATTTGGAGCATTTACTTTGCCCAGTGTTCTGGGGGGTCGCTCTTGTGATGGGAGCCCAGAGGCCCCCCTCTGGTCCCCGGGCCACCCCTCCGCTTACATGGCTCTTCAATCCCACATCCTAGCCCCGTTAGCCAGGGAGGGACCTCTAGGCTAATTGCCAGTTTTCTCATCTTTCCCCCCATCTCTGTCTTTTTGTTACATTTTCTGGAAAAAAATCCAACTTCATCTTCCTTTTATGGTCTTTTTGAAGAAATCTGCTGTTATTTTTAATCTGATCTTCCTGGCCCTCCGAAGCCCCCTGCTGATAGCTTCCTGCCTGTGGCTCTTGCGTGCACTCACTCTTTATCTCACACAAAATTAATGATAAGATTCTTGGGTGTCTCTCCTCACATCATGGTGGCCCTTGGCTGTCTGGTGACCCCTCAGAGACCCTCAGAAACTGTGGCAAGTTCTGTGTGACTCTGGCTTGTGAATCGGGGCTCACAATGGACCTGCCAGGCACCTCAGGATCTGTGGAGGTCACTTCGTTTGGACTGATGACTGTGTGGCAAAGGGCAGCATTCAAGTGTTACCTAAGCACTGGAGGTGGGTGGCGGCCAGTGGCCAGGGCCCCCTGCTCTGGCACAGACTTGTGCTTGGCCCTCCATCATGTCCGATTCTCCCAAACAGTACACCTCCTGTGTCCCTTGTGACAGCCACCTGTTAATAGAGTCCCTGCCCTGACTTCAGCCTGTCCTCACTCTGGGTTTGAGGGCCCGGGATACAGGGTGTGTGTGTGGGGGGGGGGCCTTGTAGGCCCCTCACAGCCAAGGTCTCAGGTCTCTGCACTCAGCTGTGGCAGTGGCCCTTGCTTTCCAACTTGTCAACCTTCCTCATGTGACAAGCTCACAAGCTGTAAGAAGTGTCTCTTCTATTGTTTTAGCAGGGTTTCTGGAGGGAGTGACAATTCACTTGACACAAATTACATTATGAATTTCTATATACCAGACATGTTTCAGGAGTTAAAGGGGCTCATGTCACTACTCAGCTGTCCTGCACCTGCCCCTGGACCAGGAGCTACAGCTGAGACCCAAGAAGATGAGATATTTGGAATCTGTGGGGACATTTTTTGTGGCACAGGTGAGGAGCCCCAGGTGAACCACCATGCACGTGACTGCTCTGCACCACGGGGATCATCCTGAGTCTCACGAGCACCCCAACACCCAGCCAGGTATGTGTACAGAGGAAGCATCTGCGGACGTCGATCTAAGCCAAGGCCCTTACCCATCCTTACATGTGTGCCCTGTCCTCATACCACATTTTGCTGGGACACTTCCACCTTACCAGTCACAGGATACTGTTTTGCTTGTTTACAGTTTTTCCAAGAATTGTTTCCCTTTTGGAAAAAAATTACATCACCCACAGTAATATCTACTCCAGGCACCCTTCAGCTGTCAGAGCATGACCGCGCCCAGCGCTGACATTCTTAATGTTGATGCTGTGCGTGCCCTGCGCCACTCCTCCTGCTTCTGCGTGTCAGATACGTGTGCCCGCCCCGGGTATGTTTCAGTTCTGTGTGTGGGTAGGATGGACCACTTATGAATCTCATTCCTTCTCAGCATGGTAAAGAGGATGCTGTGAGTGTCCGGAGGGGCCTGAGGGGCCGAGGGCGGCCT